ATAGCGCAGATCGCTTGACGGAGAGTAAAACTCTGAAGCACTCAGTCAGAGTGTTCGGCGAGTAAAAATATATCTGTGCTTAACTTATACTTAGCCTCCAACTCACACACTGGCGAGTACAATCTGAGAATTTATTAGCCATTGGCTAATATTAGACATCATTTAGTCACCCAGAGTGAAGATTTAGTCGCATATGCTAGTGATTTACTCGCAATGTAGAGGGTTGTATAATAATAACCCAATTTGAGGAAAAAAAAGAATGTTCTGAATAGCTTTGTGAAATTATACTACATGCCTGAACGAAACAAACAGCAGATGAACTGAATGAGACACAGATTCACTCTCTGACAGCAGGAGGCGCTTCAGGAACACCAGATACGGCATTTCCTTGGTTACCGCTGTAAACAAAGCAGCGCTGCGCTGAAACACTGCTTTAATATGAATACAGAGACGAGATGAAAACAAAATACCACGTAAACTTTTCTGAAGACAGTCAGTTCCCCTCAGAAACACATTCATATAAACCCCCAAATCAATATTGAGGATTTTCTTCCAATAGTTTGTGCATCATGAACAGTGATTGATCTGCCTGCTACAGTATATTTCTCTGTGCGTCCGTCTTCAGCATCTCTGGCCTGTTAATGGCATTTACAGACTTCATATTTTCACATAAATTACATTTTGGAAAATGATTGCATTGCAACGCAGTTTGTGCAAGTCTAGAACAGAGACGAGTTCCAATAAGACAAAAAACTGCCGGTTGCCGATCGCGTATGTTCCAGGGGCAGCTCCCATTTCAGTTTCAGTTCGGTCATCCTACACACACACGTGACTGACCGCTCGCTCGCACCAACAGGAGGAGGAGGGTCGTGTTACTCTCTACACTGCACTCAGCCTGAGGGATTCCTACACTTTCAGTCTTTGAGGAGACATGAAAAACAGCGCATACCGCAGGAACGGTATAACGGAAAATATTAGTGGTCAAATGAAACCGGTAATCGGCCCATGCCTAAGCACCACATTGGAAAATTAAACCGTATCCGTGCTGACTGGCCCGGATCGACACGGAATGGAACGGTTATGCAAAGAGAACCGTTCAGCCCGACAGTGGAAAAACGGCTGTGGAAATACAACTGGAACCATACCTGACAGTTCTTAGAACCGTTCGGCCCGATAGTGGAAAAGCAGCTTTTAGTAGGTAATCCACTGCGTCTTCAGCTGCTCACATGTCGGGAGTAAATGACTGCTATGTTCATTATTACATCCAACAACAGAACACCTCGATCGCTTAAGAGTCATTCTTGTCTACATCTGCTCCGGCGGTGAAACATTGGTAGACTGATGACAGCTCACTCAGGGTGGGTCTAAGGTTAGACACCAGTCCAGTCTGTGCTGAAACGCTACTGTCAATACGGATGCACCGATACCACTTTTTCCAGTACTCACCCGATACGATACTTTTGATTTTGGTACTTGCCGATACCAAGTACCAATACCGTTTAATCCAAATGATGCGTGTGCTAAGTGAGTGAACATCAAAGATCACACAACAGAAATGCGCACGTGCGCTCTCGCTCTCTCTCTCCCGTTAAGTAACTTGTGCATTGTTTTACTAACTTGTTTTTGACATATCCGACCGAACTACTTTGACGTATCCGACCGAACTACAAACTTTCCAGTGATGTCTGTGAGAAAGGTATATTCACTCGAGAAGCTCGCGCATCTGCGCCGCCACGCGCTCAATCCGCTCATCGTGCTTTGCTTATCAGCTTCTGTAGTCTCCTGGGCATGTTGTCATCCAGGTTCATGCAAACCTGAACTTCAATTTTTTTCCCAGACTTGATCTGTATTATTTTTGGTCCCAAATTTGTATCAGTTTTACTGGTTTACAGTAAATTATGTTCTGTTGTCGGTGTTTCTTTGTCTGAATTATGGCACTTATCACATGCTGTGTGGTATCGGCATTTGGAATCGGGGCATTTTAACGAGTACGAGTACGGGAGCTCAATATCGGCCCGATACCAGTATCAGTATCGGTGCATCCCTAACTGTCAATCAAAAAATCGTGGGAGGGGATCGGCTCGATTTGCGAAAGGGGAAATCATTTAACGAGATAAAAAAAAAAAAAAAACACTGGGTGGATCTTTATCATTATAGGGTGGTTGTGTACACACACTGCCAACACACATTTCAGTTCAAACAGCTTGTAAAAGTGCATGTCGCATCCGATGACACCTTTAAAACACACATACACATTTGAATTGTTGCATATCATGGTTTCTGCTTTCTGCTTTTCAACACTGATAAAAATAAGAAATGTTTCTTGAGCACCAAATCAGCATATTGGAATTATTTCTGAAGGATCGTGTGACAATGAAGACTGAAAAATGCTAAAAATTCAGCTTCGCATCACAGGAATTAATTACATTTTTAAATATATTACGACAGAAAACAAAACGTACTGTATATCAACTTTAATGTGTCCAATGTGTAAACAATATGATTTAAGTACTTAATCCAGGATAAATATGTGCACAATCAGCATATTTTAAACATTCATGACAGATGTCACTACCTGCTTCTCATGGAGATTGTCTGCCGCCCAGCAATATTCACTTGATATTTGCAAAGTCGCTCAGTAGACACGCACCGTGAGAGGAGTTGCGGAGAAATTGTTAGGGCTGATCCGAATACCCTTTTTTTGAGCTTCGAAGCTTCAGTAGTAATCAACACCGAATATTCGAAGCTTCGGAGGGAGGGGGCTGAACATATTCTTCTCTCAACACGTGTCTACACCAAATAGAACCTATAGGATGCTGTCTACACTGGATGCGGCGTGGTGCGAAAAATTCCCAACAGTAACCTGCTGCTGCGTTCTATTTATGACGTATTGACACAAATTTCAAATGATTTTCAACGGTCGCTTTGTCACGTCCAGTGTAGACAGACTTTAGCTGTTGCGGTGCAGTGCGACACGACAACTATCGCGTCCGGTGTAGACACGGTGTAATAAAGGCAGGAATTTCTGTGTGTCTGTCTGTCTGTGTGCATTTTTATTATGTCGAGAACCGTTCATCCAATCAACTTCACACATGGTGGGTGTGCTGCTGCGGACCCAAGAGAGTGCAGTGTCGCATTTTGGTGCAATATGGACACGCGACACGTTCAGAATTAATAAACTTTTATTAAAGTACAGAACAGCGCGAGCCGGAAGCGGCGCGCCTCACGCGGGCAGGGCTTATATTCTCAGAGAACGGACACTGCACTAGTGATACAAAACACACAGGTCTGTTAAGAGCAATACTTTTAATATAGACAAATTATTATTAGGCTGGGCTACTGTACGTTTTTTATGACTGCCGTATTCGCAAATATTTTCCAAGCAAATTAAGTGCATGTTTTTATCATGTGTAAAATTACTGATTAACATGAGTAATAACATAAACATAACATTAACATAAAAGCAGCTCGTTTTTTTTTTACACCAACAATATACTATAGGCGTACTACTTACAGAACTCAGGTGATTTTTCAAACTTGATGTGCTGTTGTGGTAAGCCAGTTTCAAATCGCGTATTTGGCACACTGCCTTTGTCTTGTCCTCACTCAATTTAAAGTGCTCCCACACAGCTGAGGTCTTCTGCATTTTTGTCTTCTCTTCCAGATGAACAGAATCACGACATTCATGACGTTCACTCATGGGCGATTCATATTCAAGCGCGAATGAGAACCGTTTCGCGGAGGATGCCAGGTGTTCGAGAAAAAAAAAATAATAATATTTGAATCTCAAAATTGAAAATTGAATGCCAACACTGTAAAAAATGACCGTGAATTTAACGGTAAAAGACTGTAAAAATGCTACAGTAAAAACCTGTTAAATGGTTAACGGTAAATTCCCCTACTATATACGGTGAAAAACGGCATTGGACATTACATGTATTGGACATTAATTTTACGGTAGTATACCGTTTTTGAAAGTGAAAAAGACCGTATAATTTACAGTGAATAACCGTAAATTGACATTCCCAGAATTCCCTGCGTTGCATTTCAAATTTGATGTTTTTTTTGTTGAGTATACCGTTTTTGGAAGTGAAAAATACCGTTTAATTTACAGTGAATAACCGTAAATTGACATTCCCAGAATTCCCTGCGTTGCATTTCAAATTTGATGTTTTTTTTGTTGAAATAACAGTTTCTTCTTAGTTTTTTCTGATCAGTTTTGTATATTAGGGTTGTGTGTTACACCTAATGTTGTTAAATGAATGTTTATTGCATTATTTCAGTTTCATGTGTGTTACCATGATGGTGTTTAGTGTTTGTGTGAATGACACTGTGCACCTTCTATATATGTTATTATTTAAAAGCTGCTTGTGATGGGCTTTGGTTCATCATGTGACTTTCTCATCACCACCTGCATTTGGTGGTTATCAGTGTATTACAAAGGTACAAAACAGATTTCAGTACTTCAACAGGTTGGTATATTAACATTATATCAGTTAATGAAATTACGGTATTTTACTGTAAATTTAAGTTAAACCCGTAAAACCTAAAACGTTGCTACCGTCTTTTTTATGGTAAAATTCTGGCAACCACAGCTGCCGGTTTTTTTACCGTAAATTTTACGGATTTCTTTTTACAGTGAACCCACTGTAAAAATTATTCGAATATTCGAATAATTGAATATTCTGGTCCAGCCCTAGAAATTGTGCTTTCTGCGGTATAGAAATCATGCTTGTCGCACAGGCCTAATTGTCTTAATTTTGTCAACCCTGAAATGGTCATATTTTTTAAATTACCAGAGCATTGAGCAGTTAAGAAAACTCATAATCGTGGAATGGTGTCATAAAAATGCCATTACCAGTAAACACTGAATTTGAGAGAATTTAACATTTTTGTAACACTTTCATACATATATAATTAAATTCTAATGCTTTTTTAAAAATGGTTTATAGATTAATCAGTTGAATATTCATGTGTTCACAAATACCTGCTCCACTCACCTGAAGTAAGAGCTGCAGGTGGCCAGCACCATTTTATGGCAGGGGAACTCACTCTCCTCCACCAGCAGAGTGATGTCAGTCAACAACTTCTGCTCGTAGAAAAACTTCAGCTGTTCCAGCACTGAAACGGCATAATCTGTGTTGACTTGCCGACGCTCTCCAACCTCCGACATGTTCGTATCCCATGAGTTTTCAACCAGCTTCTGAATGTCAAAGAGTATCGGTTCCTTTCTGCAATGGCCTGTACCCTGAATACTTTGAAATTAAGGCTAATCCTCTACCATGCTGAATCACAACTTTTACAGCAGTTCCACAGTGTTCAGCTGTCTCAGAGGACGTTGGGATTGAGGAAGAAAGTGACGTGAGGTAGAGGGAGATGTCTACATCAGAACACCAGCAGTCCACCGTGTCTGTGGAAAAAAATGGGCACATTAGACCGATAAGGACAAAGGAGAACCTGAACCACCCCCTGGTGTACTGTAAATGAAAGTATTTATACAGTATTAATATTTATTTGTCTACATTTATTTGCTTTAAATGTTAAACCATAGAGTAACACTTTCATATACGTGCCAGCACCAATTTTTACTTGCTTTTGGCAAATGGCAAATTTTACTTGCTTTTGGCAAATTTTGGACCTTTGAAAAGGGGTTTTACAGGGATACTATGGCCAAAAATAAAGATTCAATATTTACTTACCTCATACTGTCCCAGATGTATATGGCTTTCTTCAGATGAACACAAAGATTTTTAGAAAAATAATTCATCTCTGAGAGGCCTTATCTTGCAAGTGTATGGGACCCCCAAAGCTGATGCTTCAAAATCCTCACAAACTGAACACAAAGGTAGTCCATACGACCCCAGTTAATGAATCAATATCTTCTGAAGCAAAACAACAGGTGTGTGTAGAATCATTTTCTAATATTTTTAATAATTTTATCTACTTTATCTATCTCTTCTAAACAACTGTCATTCTCAGGTTAATGAGCTCATGTTTGATGTAAATGTCCAAACTTTGTGAAGCATGACATAAACGTGTCCTGCAGCTAACGCAAGAAGGGCCATCACATCTTGCTTTGCAATGTGCTGATGTTTATATCAAGCGTGAATGCATGAACCCAAGTAGGACAGTTGGTCAGAAGTGATGGTTTATAGTTAAATTTAACAAATGTAAATATTTTACTTACATCTATTATTTTGCTTCAGAAGACACTGATTCATCAACTGGGGTTGCATATTCACTTTTTGGTTTTTGAAGCATCATCTTTCTTTGTGTTCATCTGAACAAAATCAGTCATATACAGTCATGGCCAAAAGTTTTGGCAGTGACAAATTGTGTTTTGCAAGCCTTATTAGTTCTCAGAGTTTCACAATTTGTGGGCTTCTGCTTGTCCACTCGCCTTTTGAGGATTGACCACAGGTTCTCTATGGGATTGAGATCCGCTGAGTTGCCTGGCCACGGATCCAAAATTTCAATGTAATGATCTTCGAGCCACTTCTTTATCACTCTTGCTTTGTGACATGGTGCTCCATCATACAGGAAAATGCACGGATTACCTCCAAATTGCTCATGGATCGTTGGAAGAAGAGTTTTTGGGCAGAATTATGAGAGAGCCCACTCCCTTGGTTGAAAAGCAACCCCACACATGGATGGTCTCAGGATGCTTTGTTGGCACAACACAGGACTCGTGGTAGAATTTCAGTCGGTACTTGATATTTTTCTTGGAGAGAAGTGGCTTCTTTGCTGCCCTTCTTGACACCAGGCCATTGTTCAAAAGTCTTGGCCTCACTGTGCGTGCAGATGCTCTTACACCAACCTGCTGCCATTCCTGAGCAAGCTCTGCACTGGTGGTGACACGATTCCGTAGCTGACTCCTCAGGAGACGACGGTCCTGGCGCTTGCTGGACACTCTGGGACGTCCTGAAGACTTCTTTACTGCAGTCGAACCTCTCTCCTTGAAGTTCTCGATGATCCGGTAAATGGTTCTTTCTTTGTAGCAATTTCCTTGCATGTGAGGCCATTTTGATGCGAAGTGATGATGGCTGCACGTGTTTCTTTGGAGGTAACCATTGCTAACAAGAACACAATGATTGGAAGTGCTTCTTCCCTCCTTTGATAGCAATCAGTCTGCTCTAACGATCTAATTAGTATGATAGTGATGTCACACTTTCAAATATGCTGCTGATATGATTAGTCAATTAATGTTAGCTGGTCATTTTGTGTCAGGATCAAAAAACAGTGAAATTTATTTTTTGTGAAAAGTTCATTTTTTGGCCAATGAAGCTTTTAGCAATTATGCCTTTTGAGTGATCAAAAATGCCTCTGATCACTCAACACAATCATCTAGAAACAATGTGAATGAACACCACAACAGCTTAAGCAGCAAAGTTTGCAAAACACAAAATTGATGTCTCTGCCAAAACTTTTGGCCATGACTGTACATATGGGAAGGCATGAGGGTGAGTAAATGAGAGCATATTCAGGTGGAGTATAGCTTTAAGTCTTGACAAACATTCAAGTGATTATAAACCAGTTAAGTGCAAAAGACATGAAAGACAACTCACGTACTCATGTGCTCCCTGATAGACGGTTTTCTAGCCATCTCATAGACAATGTGTGAGTACTGAATTGAATACTCTTTCACATCTTGTCACGCTTGAACGGCCAAAAACACACACAATTGTCAAAATGTCCATCTTAGAAAGTATGCTTGTAAACACAGTTGGTTTTATCCAAGTGAACATGAACAGCTGGGATAAAAATTGGACATAAAACATTATATTGGATGCGTGCATTGTTTTAAAGTGACAGCAGCCTATTTTACCTGCTGCTGTCTAACTAAAGACAAAGGACAATCACTCACTGCTTGACTGAATACATATTTTTTTTTAGGTTTAATAAGGATTCATCTGTATTTAATTCATACAGTGAAGACTATGCAGTGCTATTTTACATTTGATTATTCACTTTCTGTAGTATTTTTTTACCTGAACACTACTGTTAGCTCTACAAGAAAAAATGTTAGTACTGTGTATCTTTGTTCTATTGTATTTATTTGTGATATTGCTTGTAATTTGGTTTCCTTGGTCTGGTTATTCTATGAGGTGTGCGCCAAGGTTATTTTCGTAAACGAAAACTGAAACTAAAGCCGGGCTCACACTGTGCGATTTTTTAAAAAGTCCTTTAGGATTGTACTTGTCAGACTGTACGAACATGATGATCATGTCACACTGTGGGATCTCAGTTGTCAATGTCAGACTGTATGACAGTCAAGACGCGTTAAAAACGGGTGCGCGCAAGAAAACTTGCCCGGAGTTTTACCTTATCAACCCATACACGTTCAGCAACCGCGAGCTGCATTGCACGCGGGGCTGTAATGTTGGCTATCATTAAAAGTATATGAATGGCGGCAATACCGGCGTATTTATGCAGAATAGTGCAAGCAGCACTACACACCCACATGAAAACAGCAGCGCAACCGGTGTTTATCATAGCAAAGACAACGAATGATATGAATTCCGTGAGCGGAGGACGAGAGTGCCGGAGTTTATGCGGTTAGAAGAAATCTCTAGCATTAATTCTGATCATGGCTTGTCTTGAAAAAACGAAGACAGTTTGACGTTCGTCGTAGGAGATGTCACACTGCAGGACTGTGCGCCAAATCTTCTGACACTGCCAGAAGTTCGTCGGAGGTAAAATTTGATCACAACGGTCATTAATTGGCTGTCGGTGAACATGTAAAACTAACGATCAAAGACTACAGATTTTAGCCTAGGATTATAAGAATCTTTTAGAATTTTCAAAATTTGTCTCAGACGACCAAATCGTGGCCAAAAACGCACAGTGTGAGCCGGGATTCAAACTAACGATCAAAGACTACAGATTTTAGCCTAGGATTATAGGAATCTTTTAGGATTTTCAAAATTTGTCTCAGACGACCAAATCGTGGCTAAAATCGCACAGTGTGAGCCGGGCTTAAGAATAAAAGTATTGGTCAAAAAACATTTTCGTAAACTGAAATAAAATGTAAATTTCAAAATAAATGAAATACTAAAACTAAACGAAACTAACAACAGTAACTGAAAAACTAACTAAAATAAAATAATAATTAGCAAAAATAAATAATCGTGTTCGTGATTTAATAAGCTCTCATTCTGTGCCAGAAAATTTGACCTGTGGTTGTTTAGGGAAATACCTGTATATGGCGCTTCATGCACGTGAGCTGAGTCCTAAGCGGCTATTCTATTCACAGAGAATGCCTTTTTGCATTTAAAAAACAAGACGCGGGAAACGAAATTGGAAGTAGCTATAAAATATGAAATGGGAAATAATAATAATGCACACCCTATAGCACATGGATGTTTAAAAACGTGCTTGACGTGCGAGAACAACATGAGAGAGAGTTAACTAAATTTTTTGGGATGAGCTGACTTTAGTGAATAGTCATTTTGTCACGCTTTACGATTACTATGGCAACGTCTGCCTCGAGTCCATGACACGAACACCGCCTTGACTGTACAAAACGCATCCAAAATGAGAGAAAGCGGCAGCCGCGCGGTTTTCTTTTCACCGCTTGCCGTGTCCTGTGTAAAAGGGGCTTTATGGGATTGATTGCGTTGTTCATCTGAAGCTCGTGCGCGCTGGAGCAGCTCGTCAAAGTAAAGTACAAATATCATTTAAATCACCATATCGCATTTAATTTTGAGTAGTATGAGGTTTCAAAGGATTTTAGATTGTTTCTTCTTATTGTGTACGTTCATAGAGGGCAGAGGCGTCATGCCCATTCAAAGTGAGGGGGCACGTGCCCCCTCAGATTTCTGAGCCAAGTGGACTTTAAATGCAGCTTCCAAAAGGTAATAAAAATAGCCAAATAATATTTTTTATATTTGATACAATCACACCGGTGTGATTAGTTCGTTCAGTGCGGCACAGCATCAGCTGCTATTCAAATCTGTGTTTGTGCTTTGGCTGGCGCTCAGCCAGAGACAGACGCGTTTGTACAGCGCTGCATTGTAACCAATCACACACGATTCTGTTAAGCTTATGAATGCAATGGCCAATCAGAGATGTTCAGATGAGTCATCGCTGAACGCGGTGTTTTGTTCACTTGCTCGCTGACTGTGCGGATGTGCGTACGAATGCAAGTAAGATATTCATTTCACAGTGTAAACAGCTTCAGTGATTTAAATGGGAGTGTTTGAGAGTGCCTGAACTCTGGCTAGACTGAACTGAAAATAATTAATTAATAATTAATAATTAGTTACATTTATATAGCGCTTTTCTGGGTACTCCGAGGGTCGTTGTACTGCAGAATAAAAACTCAACTGCCTGTAGCTTTCTAGTAACTCTGAAAACCTCGATTAGCTTGTTGTTTGTAAACTATTGGCATGTTTAACAAGATTACATCTT